CTGTGTTTTTCAATTAAAAAAAAAAAGAGTTTTGGATAAGTTTAGGACAATTGATAGTCGTCCTTAGAGCCTCTTCCTTTGGAGTTGCGGAACTGGTCAAGTAGCTGGACACTAGGTTGTCTCTCAAGGTAAAGAGAGACACCAATCTATATTGAAAAGAAAGAGTAACCTCCCTCAATAATGGGGGTCAGTAGAGGAATGATATAAACCATTGATCTTGATAGCTATGACCTTGAATAGAATCCCACATATTAGACACTTTTTTATCCTTCTTAAGAAAATAAATTTGCTTCAATGGATCTCTATTTTTTGTTAAGTCCAATCCCACCAGTTTTTCTTTTTTTTTTTTTTGCTTATCCCTAGTATACATGGTACACATGGCGGGTAGAAATAGGCGACTGCTTTTACTGTAAGTGCACCACGTGTCTACACATGTGAAAAGCAGTTCGACTCTGCATTTACAAATGTGCCATAGCCCCGTTTGGTTACTTGCACTTGCTGGTAGGGTTGGACTTTTGCAAGATTCGAGGGCCATTAGAACATTTTTTTTTTTTATCAGAAAAATGTGCCCAATTCGGAAATCGGACCCGGGTCGTAGTGGTCGAAAACCAACAGTTTAGACCATCCTTCCACCGACCCCCTATGGCCACATGTACTAAGGATATGTTCCACCATCATGACGGTCAATGCAAAAAAGAGACAAGAAACTTAAGAATATAGAAGATAAATGTTCATGTATAGAATGGATTACACACTTTAACATAAGGTAAGAATGGATATACACTCATGGACATAACTTAAGGAAGTAGTATCTTTCAGCATGTATTTCGGGATTCAAACAATAACTCTGAAAGATAACACATTAACCTTTATTGAAAACACACAAGATAACCAAATGTGAACAAAATCCCCTATGTCTCCTTCATAAATAAAAATGGATGACCAACGACATCAAATACTTTCCACTTCCTTAAGTTTTGTCCATGAGTGTACAGTAGAATCTCCATGAGAGGATACTCTTGCCAGTGGACACCTCTCTACAACGGACAGTTTCCATAAGTAAAATTAGCATTTTTTACTAATTAGCAATTCTTCAGTAAGGACACCTCTCCCTAAAGGACACTTTGTCTCTGAAACTAGGTGTTGTCCTTCTGAAGGAGGTTGGTGGAAGGATGGTCTAAACCGTTGGTTTTCAACCGCTACAACCCGGGTTTGATTCCCGCATTGGGCACTTTTTTTTTCTGATAAAGAAAAAAAAAATGCTCCAATGGCCACCAATTCTTGCAAAAGTCCAACCCCCACCAACGAGTGCAAGTAACCAAACGGGGCTTTGGTGCATATTTAAGTGCCAAGTCGAACTACTTTTCAGTAGACATGTGGTGCACTTACAGTAAAAGCAGTCGCCTTCTACCCACCCTGATTATCATGGCCTGTACCACGTGTACTAGGGATAAGCAAAAAAAAAAAAAAAGGAGATTCTACTGTACTGGATTTTAATTTAACTAGCTCATACATCCAAAGTTACCAAGAGTATTTTTTTTTTTATATTTTGTCACTAAAATATTTTGGTTTGTTTTCAGAACTTGAATATGATCCGTTCGAGTATATGGACCTGAACAAAGAGGTAAATTCAGTTTTTCATATTTAACAAATACATTTTTATATATTTTTGAAAATAGAGCAATCCATAGTTAAATCTTTAATTAAAAAGGCATATATTGGATCAAAATATCATTTATTTTACCAATATTTCAGTTGGCTGAACGCCAACCTTTATCAAGGTGTTATAACATTTTAAAGTGCGTCTAATATGTTATAACACCTTGATAAAGGTTGGTGTTCAGCCAACTGAAATATTGGTAAAATAAATGATATTTTGATCCAATATATGTCTTTTTAATTAAAAAATTATATATTTATATATAGAGAGGTATATATAATAAATAAGGTATATTTGGAAAAAATATAGCTTCATCAACCATTAATTTATTTAAACATAAGGTAATAAAACCAAATCCAAATAAATACATAGTGTGTGACGTTTAGGTAACAGCGTTATCATCTTACCAACTGGGTAAATTTTCTCATTCAGTACTTTTGTCTGAAGATGTTAACAACTCTGTTACCGAAAACATCACACACTATTTATTTATTTGGAGATTTGGTCTTATTACCTTGTGTTTATAATCTATAATCCAAATTGTGTCTTATCATTGGTCTTATTATCTTGGTAGTTTTTCTATTACTGTTATGCTCTTCTCTATTCCCACAAAAAAAAAATCTTTTTAAATATCACACACACAAAAACCTTTATTAAGACACACAGGTCTTACAGAGGATTCTCCTTGGGGTTACAAGACGGAGAAACCCATTAAAATGGGAAATATACAAAGGGGTAAAAAATGGAGAAAGATTATATACACATGGTAAATATATATCTTTTTAAATATATATTTTTTAATTATAAAAAAATATGAACCAATTTTAACCAATAACTTGATGTGCAATAAATCTCATGTCTGCGTAGGAAAATGCCTTCTTGGATTTTACCATCAACCAGCTGACTAGACGAGTGGTAAAGCGTGTTCTGGAGAAATCAATCAGGGTAAGTACATACAATATAACTTTTATTATTCTTCTTTCAGGACAAAGGATCCCTGTACAGAGAACCAAAAAGAATTCTTGAATTTCTTTATAAGCACGACCTCCAAGATCTTGTCTAATTTAGACTAATAAAAGGATAAAGAAAAAAAAATTATTTCTTAAAATTAAAGATTTTTTTTTTTTGCTTATCCCTAGTACATGTGGTACAGGCCATGATAATCATGGTGGGTAGTTAGCGACTGCTTTTACTGTAAGTGCACCACATGTCTACACATGTGAAAAGCAGTTCGACTTTGCACTTACAAATGTGCCAGAGCCCCGTTTGGTTACTTGCACTCAATGGTGGGGTTGGACTTTTGCAAGAATCGGGGGCCATTGGAGCATTTTTTTTTTTTAAACAGAAAAAAATGTCTAATGAGGGAATCGAACCCGTGTCGTAGTGGTTGAAACCAAACGGTTTAACCAGCCTTCCACCGTCCCCCGCTCAAATTAAAGATACTTCAGCCAGTAAATATATATTTTTTTATTGTCTTGACGTTTCGACAAAAATCTTTTGTCCTCGTCAGGAGCGAACAAAAAAAATCAAAACATTTAGCAAAGCGTAAAAAATTATTCTATAGAATGTCGAATTTTTGTCGAAA